CCAACAGGAAGCCATACCCTTTGTATCTGAGGGTCTTTCACTCATGTATTTATGTTCTCAAACACAGAGTTGGACAGGGCCATGGGAAAAGGGTTGGCCAAGGCTCATGTGGGTATGAAACTTGCAAAGTTTACCTTGTTCCTCAGCAGCAGAGCAGCTTGTCTGGCCTGCTGCAGACATACTCTGTGACCATCATTATGGTTGAGCAACACGCTGTAATTCCAATTTCCACAGAGCCCATCACACTGGAAGAGCTCAAGCAACTAGACTTGCTCTAGTTTCTATTTCCTGTGCCTTTTTCCACAAAATAGATCTGCAAAATTAAGCTACAGCCCACTATGCTGTTATCATCTTTCAGACTCTGAGTGGAGTCAATCTTAGCAGCCCCAGCTTGAGAATGCATAAGAAAGGTGCCCATATATATTCCTACAAAACAGGAAATGATAAGGAGGGAAACAGAGTTATCAAAACATGACACAATAGTTTGCACACAAAGCAAGTAAAGGTTAAAAACCAATGGGTCGTAAACCAGAACCGAATGTAAATAGTTATCACCCCAGTTTTGCACTTCATTTACATTGATGTAGCTGGTTATATAACTGTAATGAAACACTACAATCACTAGACCTACAGTTCTATGAAAATAGCAGCTTTGCAAGTTTTCAATTTTGTTTTTTCAATGACAGTTAATTCAACATTTCAAAGTGTACAAGTTAAATGAGACAAAGAATGATAAATAATGCCCCACAATTGCTGAAATCTGATTACACTGATAAAAGCAGGCCAAATTCTACTTGCACAAGTTTGTACTTAAAGAATGAGAGAGAGAGAGAGAGAGAGAGAGAGAGAGAGAGAGAGAGAGAGAGATAAAAAGGGAAGAAAAGCTTTAGATAAATAAATAAATGTTCCCATTTATTCCTCTAGATAGCATATAAACAAGGAAACAAAGGAAATACGAATGGTTCAGGATCCCATTTACACTTAGGGGTCGAAATCAGTAAAACAGTTCCATCATGGAAAAAAACAAAAAACAAAAATGGACTTCCATTTAAGAAGCTAATTTATGCACTCCTGAGTCCTCATACAAGTTAAGCAGCACAGAATATCACAGCAGGCGTAGAACAACAGATCTTGAACCCTGCTGTGTTTGTTCAAGAAAGCAAGTTAAGCTATTCCTAACAGGAAACAAAAACAGGCAGTCAGGCTATTAAACAGGGATCCTTTTGCCACACTGTGCAGCTCTGAATGCATCAATTGCTGTTCCAAGCAGGATTAGAGATGTGGTTTTCTTTAACTATGGTTTTGAGAAAAATGTTTATGCCTGCTCAGAATTCTCAGGCTGATATTAACTAATACAGCACCAGCAAGACATAAAGCACTTTCAATAACTCTAAGAAACGGTCTTTGACAAACTCCAAAGTTGAGTGAAGGCAGCACAAATGAAGGCAAGGGGGTGGGAACCAGTGTGTGGAAAGTTAACCCACATACATAGCTAAATTTGGAATTCTCCAGAGTATTTCTGCCTTTTAAGTATTCAAGACCCCATTCTACAGTAAGTTAATCACACAGTGAGCAACTGGTGATTAGCTCCTATGGACAGAACCTACTGAAATGAACATGCACCTTGAAAAATTGACATTTTTTTTGCCACATATGACTACCAAATACACATTTGCAAATGGCTTTGGGTAATTCTGCTTTGTTATCATAATAAAATGGGATCACCCAGATATTTTTGTAGAAGTCAAATGTACCATGTAAGGAAACAAAGGGAAATCTTTCTCACATATGGACCTCTCTTCATCGTTGACTTCAAGGATAATCAGTTCAATGGAGAAAGTGGTTCAATTTCCACCAAAAAGAACAGATTTGTGGTGGCTTGAAGGCATCTGGTCATTGCCACATGGTTTTTAACCAAGACTTCAGGATACTGCCTATGTCTTTGGTGAAAATATTTAATGTTGATTAGGTGTATCACCAGTTAGTTACCAAAGGTTGAAATTTATAGTCTAGAAATTATCTTAGAGGTGCTTAAGAAACACAGGAAAAAGCAAAACACAATTGTTTTTCAAACCATTGTTCTAGAACATAGTCACAAAGGGCTAGGAAACAAGTTTTGTTCAGACCTTCGAAATATTAGAATCATGAAAGCCTTATCTTATAGACAGCAACCATTAATGAGTGCTACACATGAGAGGGACATTTTTCATTGTAGATCAGCGGCGAGATTAAAATAAGCATGTTTACAGAGATATAACTATTTAAAATATTTATAGAGAAAACAGTTGCAGATGATACAAAGAGAGATTCCAACAAAAACACAGCACAAATGCAGACACCATATGGTCCAATGTATGCGCTCATGACCTCATATGAAAAGCAGGCTAAAGACGTAACAGCTGGAGATGCCTCCCTCTTACCCTCAGAACAACAAACTCTAGGGTTTGGAAGGGGCTCATTATAATCATGTCCACGGATGGGTGAAATCAACGGGCAATGTCAAAGACTTTGGGAAGAAATCTCTCAAAACAACTCTCCCTGGAAGACTTTTCTTTGTTGGGACATCAAGCCCAATCAGCATTTCTTCTGACTCCATGTAAAAGGAGCAGTCAGGTAACGCACAGATTTCCACCCCATACCTCCTGGGCTCTCTTTTTCATCTCCTGATTATTCATTAGGCTTGAATCAGAACCACGAAACCCTGCAGAGGTCCCAGGCCACCACATCATGTAGAATTGTTCCCTTGATCTGCTCTAGAGCATCAGGGGCCAAGACAAGAAAAGGGTCATAGGGAGTCTAAACTGTGCGAGTGTCCAGCATATGTCAGGCTCTGTGCTAGGCACAAGTAAGAGAAATAACTCTCATAAGAAAACTGGGAAAGTAATCTCTCATTCTTGTTAAAGAAACAAGAATCCTTAAGGCTTAGAGAGGTTAAAGGAACTTGCTCATGGTCCCAGATGGCTGGAGCCCATCACATTCCTCTGCCGGCCAAGAAACAAGACAGCATGTTTGACAAGACTTGATGCTTGTAAAGACCCCATCCTTCCAGTAAAGGGCTCTGCAAGTGCCGCTGAGGGAACACTGGGGAGAGGAAGAGAAAGTGTGGGAGGGGCAGGGATGCTCACACCAACCAGTTGAGACTGGCAGCCCTGAGGGAGGAGAACTTCCATCTGCAGCATGCCTCTGCTCTCCTGCCCTCCCCTTCCAGCCCAGATACCTGAGGTTTATATTTAAACTCCTTCTCCACAGAGCTGAATTGCCCAAAAGTACCCCAAAGAGTTCTGAAACCATTTCCTGCAGGGTTCTTAATAATTTTTAAGGTAAGTGCCATTTTCTATTTTAATAGAAAGAAGACAACGTGTAGCTATGGTGAGGAACAGGAGGCAGAGCGATTTCTTGTTATTGTTATGTAAGGCAGCAGAAAAAGGCTCTGGGGGGGCGTCCAATATCTTTTGGAGAAGAGGACGCCATTAAGGAATCTTCCTCAATTCTGAGCTTTATATGATCACAATAACATGCTTCCCTTGGCAGGGCACGTGATGTGAGGCACTCTATGATGACAGAAGGAAAGTGTGTAGTGGGTTCAGCGCTAGTGAAGAATCATACGCCCCAGCAACGTTTCTTCTTACCATATTCTGTGTTGGTTTGTTCTGAACTTTGTTTTAAAATTCCACGCTGATGGCACCTCAAATTCGTGAGGAATCTTCTATAACAAAATGCTTTTGAATATGGATCAGTGGAAATTTGATGAATAAATGCCAGTAAGTTGAGGTTAGTTCATTTTTAGGCTCTGAATTTGTTAAGTCTCTTTAAAAGAAATTTCAAATGCGGTCAATTAAGTAAGCATGACCTATCATAGATGCTGAGCCTTCCAGATAATCTGGAATTCTGATCATATGTTTACCCTGGAAGCGGCTGCTCTACTCAAATGCTTTAACTTTAAATGAAGTGTTCAGTCCTTTTGTGATGGCACTGAAGTGTAATCAAACATTTCCACAAGCCAAGTCACACACTAGCACGTCTCTCTTTGTTTAAATATCTCAAATATATTTGAGTAATTGTGTAATGATTTCTAGGCCTCTGGTTGTCCATATGGTCTGAACAGACTGTCTTTTGTAGAGCAGTTGTGCTATGTCTCTCAACGAGGAGAAACCAAATTATCTCTGCTCCAAACTGGAGTGTTTGGGAGGTACTGCTGAAATTTCAGAGTGGCGCCCTACCTCAATTCCTGAAACAAAACCAACCCACATCTGGCCCCCAGAAATCACTGTGTCTTCTGGAAATCTTGCTTGTGTTAGTGAAATACAGAAGAGCAATGCAGCAGGCATCACGTGACATGTTTTCTGCCATAACTGTCCTTAGGATACAATGACATGCCATGGAGACGACACAGCAAAGCCAGCACTGCAACCACATGGAATCTTTCTGGACAGAGAACATTCTAGATGGTGAACCAGATCATCTCAGACAGACATGAGGACCAGTGAAAGGGTCTGGCCATTGGGAAGAACTCTGCTCTGATGCCCCCTGGGTGGTTTGGGTGATGAGGCAAGAGAAGGAGTTGTTGATTTTGGAATTAATGAAATCCCAGGGCACTTTTTAGGGATTTGGCTAAACTTGGTGCATGGGCCGTAGTAATTATTCACATTATCTATCTTCCTAGGAAAGTATCCCAGGGAAGACCTGGAATGCTATGTTTGAAGGAATGTGCCAAACTTACTTTTGACCTATTATTTGAGAATTCTCAGCAAAATGGTTGGGCATAGATTTGCCCCCAAACCACTGGCCACTATAGGGTTCTTTGGTGGGATTAACTTGCCAGGAGACAGTGGACAGCTGCCTCTGTTGGCCTTTCTGTTCCCATCCAACTTCAGGCTTCTGAAGGTGTAAGAGGAAAACCATTTCACTGGCCACGAACAGGGTTTAGTGCATGAGACCATGAAGACATGCACGACTTGTGAATACTGGGGATGGCTAGAATGTGATAGAGAAAAGTTTACCTTTTGTGCCTGAGGGAGCTGAAAAATAAGGGGAAAACAAAACAAAAGAAAAATGCCATCATTACATAAGAAGTTAAGATTAACTGTAAAACTTCACTCAGCTGCCATTGGCAAATGGAAAGACCAACATTGAGAGGAAAATAAAACTAAGGCCAGGTCATTTCCCAAAATAAAGCTTTAATGTCGAACATTTCACCTGCTATCTGAATCTGTAGTATCAACAGAAATGAGCACGCATTTTGGGAATCACCACGCCCAGGCAGTTTGATAACCTCCTAAAAGCTGGACCTGAGGTTCTCCTGTCCAATGGCCTTAAACACACACTTCCCAGACCCAATTCCTCTTTTCTGTATGCCAACTGTTCTCACTGGAGGATGACTGTCTGGAGACATCTGGAGTCATCAAAACTGGGGAGATGGGAAGGGGCAAGCGCTGTTGGCCTCTAGTGCTTCGTGACCAGAGATGCTGCTAAATAGCTTATAATGCATAGGACAGCCCCCACAACAAAGACTTATCTGGCTCAAATGTCAACTACACCAAAATTGAGAAACCCTGCTGTATATGAAGGTAAGACCATTAAAAGTAGGTTATGCTTTTAAAGTCAAATTTTCTGGCTTTGTAGCACATTAACTGTTCCCTTTATTGGCGGTTAAGGAACCATGCTCAAGAATTTGTGCATTTGAACTAAACTAATATTCTATTGTAAGAACAACAAAAAGGCAGTCAGTCAGTCCATAAAATAAGACATAATAGCTTTCCCAATGGCACAGGCAAGGAATGCAAGTCATAGATACGTGGAAAAGATGAACACTTATGAGACACATTTGTCTATTTTTCTACACTGAGACTATTAGGTGGTGGTTTAATGCTTCAGTATTTGTGACTGCCATTATACAAAGAATGCAGTATTTTAAAGAGCCTCTTTCTAATCTGGAGTGGAATTACTATTATCCATGCACTAAATACCAAATCTAGAAATTGCTTCATTTTCAAGACATAATTCTTGTCATACAGATGAACATTTATTGGGTGTGAACATGTCATCAGGCACTGTGTGATACCCTTTATTTGTATTATGAAACAAAATCACAGCAACCCAATATGAGGTTCCCTTAGTACCCCCATTTTACAGGTGAAAAATAAAATGGAAATTCAAAGTTAAATAATTACACACTGTCCCATAGATACGCTGGAAAGCTGGGTTGCCTGACTTTAGAATATACAACTTCAGCTCAACTCCCACACTAAGAAAAGCCACAAACACTTAGAAATTGTGACTGCAGACTTTATGTTTCTCTCGAGTTTATAACATCAGAAATACTAGAAGATACAAGACAACTGAACCAGACATCCTAGGGTCCCCATTTAACTCTGCCTTTCCCATGCCTTTTTTTTTTTTTTTTTACCTTGGGAGGAATGTTCTTTGTTCATATGCCCTAAGACCAGGGCTTTCTTGAACCCATCCTAAGGCTCTGCCGATGTGGATGGAGCCCAGCAAAGAGCAGGAGGGATAAATCCACATCAACAAAATGTCTTGGGTCTGAGACTTCTCCAGAGTGATCTAAAGAATTTTCATGAAGGGCAGACCCCAGCCTCTCCAGCACTCACTTTTCAAGCAATTTTATCCCGAAAGGTCTCCCAATTTAAGAAGACAGGAATACACGCATGTTTTTCTGATTCTTTCCTCCTAATTATGGCTGCCACTATTCAAAAAGGAAGTTCACAAGTTCCTCCAGGGCTTCTCAAGGGTTCAGAAAAAATGCATCAGGAGGTGAGAAATTGAGCCTAAAATGAGGAATCACTTAAAGAAAAGTCTCTTAAATATTAAACATCTTTTCACACAACGGAAAAGAAACCTTGGGGATGTGAACATTAAGGGCTAATGATAAATGTATGTTTCCTTAGGAAAGCATTTGTGTTGAATCACAGCTTATGTCATACAAAATGCATGGGGGGGGGGCTGTGAGAATTATAAATGTTTGATGAACTATAAAATAAATACCAAAGTTAAGTCCTACACACATTGCCGGACTTGACAGGTTTCTTTGAAAGGAGAGCTGTTTTCTCTCTCTCTCTCTCTCTCTCTCTCTCTCTCTCTCTCTCTCTCTCTCTCTCTCCCCCCCCCTTCCTCTCAGCTTTATCTTAGCTGAGCAGAAAACACTACTTTTTAACTCACCCATTTAAGCACAAGAGAAGACATTCTGGGAAGGGAAATGAGAGACTAGCCTTTGTGGTGATGTCTTCAGGTTAAGACTGCCCTCAAACTCTCCGCAAAATATATATTTTCCTCAAGAAATAACTCCTGAGAACAAAGAGCAACTTTCCTATCGGAGCTTTTAAATACCATAAATTACAGCTTGCAATGCCCCAAACAGGTCAGACCTCTGAGAAGAAGCCTCAGAATAGAACATAACAAATTTAGATTGGATAGCCGGCAGCCACAGATGCTACTGCTTGGGGGTCGGCTCTCTTGAGGACACATCGCCCACCCAACATTCACAAACAGTGTGCAGAGCCCTGAGCAGGGAGCCAGACCAACCAGACACTGGGTCTACTCTGGTCTCTGGCTGGAGTCTTGAGGCCCAAGCCTTCCAGCCTCTGGCCAGGGCGCGCCTCTGTAAAAAAGGATGGCGGAGGGAGGACTGGAGAATGGGCCAGATCTTGGAAGGCCAATAGGTTTTGCCTTGAGAGCCAAGTCTGACTGATTAGTAATGGCTGTCTGGAGGGCCATGTTGAGAAGGGTTCTGCAGTTATGTCTGAGTTGTGTTGGAAAAAATGTAATAACCAATTAGCAATGTCTGTTGTGGGCCAAAAAAATAAGGAATAGCAAAACATATTCCTGGACATGATGATCTCTAAAGATCTCACTGTGCTTTTTCTTTGCAGTTCTGAGCACATATATGGTTTTTCTGTGATGTATTCGTTGAGTGTCTCTCCTCCGCTAGGTCACAGGCTCCATTAGGGCATGAGGGTATCTGCCCTGGATATAAGTCTCTATGAAGTTCTCCAAGCTGTGCCAGTGATTGGAGCTCACCTTGTTAAAGAAGGTATCTTATTACTAGGGTATGTGTAGGGTGAATTCCAAGGAAAGATAATTGGGGAAACTGCCTTAAATCCAATCCCCCACACCCACACACATACCATGTTGATAACCAAAGCTGATAGCTTTCAAGAGAAAAATAAATATCTCTGCCAGAAGAATACATATGAAATTCTCGGATTCCCATATGCCTGGCACAGGTTTCTGTATATGTGCAGACTGCCTCACTGGCCCATGGATGTGCATAAGACCAGCCTGGGAACTTCCAATCATCACGTGGCCAGAGGTAGGCAACTTCTCTTCTGCAAAACCTTCTCTTCTTCAAGGCCACCTTGTCACATACTGTCAACCTGTCTGGGTCTGTTTTCTCCCTCATCCCATCAAGGTCTGCACAGCCAGCTTCAGGATCCCTCCAGGACAAATCCCCCAGATTGGATGATTCTATACCCAACTGTACACAATCTCCTGTCACTTTTTAAAAGGAAGGGCAAAGAAAGTAAGAAGCCATGGTATGCTGTGTGCTTCCCAGAGAAAAGCTGGGCACAGGATGCATTCATGTGACACTTCATATTCGAACATAGAAAGATGGAGAATATGTCATTCAGGATAGAGTGGAGGAGAGGAAAAGGATAAAGATGAAGGCGGCAGTAATGATGGGAACAGCGACCCTTGAGTGAACACTCTTAATGGACCAGGTTTGGCTAAATGCTTCACCATCTTGAGCAACACTGGCACTCACAGAAGAACTCTGGGTTAGATACTAGTATCCTCCTCAGTTTATAGATGAGGAAATAGATAATACCCTTGACCCTTGAACAACATGGGTTTGAATTGCATTGGTCCACTTATATGTGGATGTGTTTTTATAACTACAATAAATGTATTTGTTTTCTTTCCTACAATTTTTAATAACATTTTCTTTTCTCTAGCATTCTTTATTATAAGAATACAATATATAATACATATAACATAAAAAATATGCATTACTTGATGGTTTATGTTATCGGTAAGGCTTCTGGTCAACAGTAGGCTATCAGGAGAGTCAAAAGTTATATGCAGAGTTTTGACTGTGTGGAGGGTGGGCGAGGTTGGTGCCCCAGACCCCTGCACTGTTCAAGGGTCAATTGTACTTAAAATAGTACAAGTTCACCAAGCCAAGACATGCTTGAGCTGAGGGTCAAAGTCAAGTCTCTCTGCAGCCCTACCTCTGCTTTAAACGTCAGGCTCAAGGGGCTGCTTCTCATGAAGATGAAGGGTGCTAACGCCAACCTATCCTCCTGAAGGACTTGGGGCCTCTCAGACCATTCCATCTGGGCACCTCCCATATGACAGAGTGGCAGTGGGAAATCCAGGTACCACCCTTAATGGGAGAGTCTGGATTGAAGACAGAGAATCCAGCCTACCATGTTTCTCAGCACATGATATGATGTACGGTGTAGTCTAAATGTTTACCATGCCCTCTCCTGTCACAGACATAGATATTTGTTCTTCTTCCTGGAACCCTCACTCTACCCCTCCTCCCTTGCTGAGCTAACACCTCCACTTCTATGATCAGTTGTCACTGTTTCAGAGAAGTCTTGCCTGACCTCGCGTATCATATGCCCTCATTACATGCCCTCATAATACCACATACCTCTATTCCATAGCATAGTGATGGCCAGGTGCAGCACCTGCTATTCTGCCCTTTTCTATTGGTAACAGAAACCCAACTTTTAGGGTTTAGGCTGTAGCTGAGCCAAGTTCAGCTAAATAACTTTATTAGAACTTGGTATGGCTAAGTGATTCAGTTGTGGCCAATGAGATACCCATAGAAGTGGCTTTTCCAGCTAGTGTCCTTAAAAGGACTCCCTCCATCCCGCTGCCAGGAAGGTCGATATGATGGCTGGTGTCCTAGCAGTTATTCTGGACAATGAAGTTATCTTGAGGATGGAAACCACACACTAGGATGTTGAGGACAGTAGCAATGACAGCCAATTAC